TTTAACAATGTTATATGTTGATGGCATTGTTATCTTTAACAATGTTATATGTTGATGGCACTTTTGTTGTGTTTAACAATGTTATATGTTGATAGCACTGTTGTATGTTGATAGCATTGTTATGTTTAACAATGTTATATGTTGATGGCATTGTTATCTTTAACAATGTTATATGTTGATGCCACTTTTGTTGTGTTTAACAATGTTATGTGTTGATGGCATTGTTATGTTTAACAATGTTATATATTGATGGCACTTTTGTTGTGTTTAACAATGTTATGTGTTGATGGCATTGTTATGTTTAACAATGTTATATATTGATGGCACTTTTGTTGTGTTTAACAATGTTATATGTTGATGGCACTATTGTGTTTAACAATGTTATATGTTGATGGCACTGTTGTGTTTAACAATGTTGAGTCGGTTATCGAATTTATCCAGTTTTTAAATGGTAAAGATCCAAAGTTTACGTTGAAAATCAACAGAATAACAAACTCTCCTAGTTAGATGTTAATGCCTTAAATAGCAAGGATATACTTACCACTAAAGTGTATCATAAATCCATTTTTCACTGGATATTATTCATATTTTCAGTTTCACTCCTTCAATTTTTAAAGAAATTATGTTTAAAAACTATACACACAGAGCGCTTAGAATATCAGGAAATAAAAACAAATGCTTAGAAGAAATTGTTTTGGGGAATCTTCCTACATATAATAATCCACACCAAAACCGGAAAACTAAATACCCAATCTATTGTTATGTTAGATATTCCGAACAAAACTACTACTTTAGTCATACGCTACTTAAGCACCATTTCATAAATGATAAAGCAGAGAACTAAGAAAATTATCAAACAGCTATATCCACAAGTTCAGTTAAAATATGCCTTTAAAACAGCTTACGATCTCTTCAACTTATAGACAAACAACATTCATTGAATAATTCAGTAGTGAGTTCACGTGCCCATGATACAAGTTGGGATATACTGAATAAACCACTAGAAGACTATGCAGTTGAATAAAAGAACACTACCTTGCTAAAACGTACAATACAAGTAGTATTATCAAACACTGTGTAAAACCTACAACAACAGAAGTATTATCAACCACTGTGTAAAATCTACAAAACCAATAGTATTATCAACCACCGTGTAAAATCTACAACACCAGTAGTATTATCAACCATTGTGTAAAATCTACAATACCAGTAGTATTATCAACCACTGTGTAAAATCTACAACAACAGTAGTATTCAACCACTGTGTCTACAACACCAGTAGTATTATCAACCACTGTGTAAAATCTACAACAACAGTAGTATTATCAACCACTGTGTAAAATCTACAACAACAGAAGTATTATCAACCACTGTGTAAAATCTACAACACCAGTAGTATTATCAACCACCGTGTAAAATCTACAACACCAGTAGTATTATCAACCATTGTGTAAAATCTACAATACCAGTAGTATTATCAACCACTGTGTAAAATCTACAACAACAGTAGTATTATTATCAACCACTGTGAAAAATCTACAACACCAGTAGTATTATCAACCACTGTGTAAAATCTACAACACCAGTAGTATTATCAACCACTGTGTAAAATCTACAACACCAGTGGTATTATCAACCACTGTGTAAAATCTACAACACCAGTGGTATTATCAACCACTGTGTGAAATCTACAACAACAGCAGTATTATCAACCACTGTGTAAAATCTACAACACCAGTAGTATTATCAACCACTGTGTAAAATCTACAACACCAGTGGTATTATCGACCACTGTGTAAAATCTACAACAACAGTAGTATTATCAACCACTGTGTAAAATCTACAACACCAGTGGTATTATCGACCACTGTGTAAAATCTACAACAACAGTAGTATTATCAACCACTGTGTAAAATCTACAACAACAGTAGTATTATCAACCACTGTCTAAACAAATGTGATGCTGTGCCTACCCCCAGTTCTTTCCGCGCCATTCTCCATTCCCGGGAAGAATTCCAACCAATAATGCTAGAATCTTTTGTCAGTAAGTTAAAAAACCAGCTCTTAACCAAAAGATGCTCGCAGCTTATAAAAGAATCTCCTGTCATTTAGTTAAGAAAACCAGCTTTTCACCAGAGATGTACGCAACTTATAATGATAGAATCTCTTATCATTAAGCTAAGAAAAACAGTTCTTAACCAGTGTTACATCTTGAATTTTAAATATGTAAAGAAAGAACAGAACGAGAATTTCGACTTGTGATTTGTTTAGTAACACTTTTAATTCGTTGTCAGACTCAGGAAGATTTTCAAATGCAAACAGCCCGAATCAGTAAAGAAAGCTATAAATATTAGAAAGTTATAAATGACCAGAATGGCTAAGAATCTTTAAGTTAAAAAAATTGCAGCACTGGCTAATTACCACGCAGGAGCGGAGAAATAATTATAATGCTGGCTGATACAATCACTTTCTCATTGATTTAGGTAACTTGGTGTGGTTAAATTAATCCTGGTTGCAGTTATTTTAGTCTTGGACTTTGTATCCGTGTTGAAGCCTTTGTATAAATGTTTGTGAAAATGTATCGATTTGTCGTCATTGTTATCGATAAATAATACAATTGTCTCCTTCTCAGAGAAAATACAAGGGATATAAAAACACTGTAAAAATATCACAGAGCAGAGAAAGAAACACATTCGCCTAACATGTATTTGTTCTTCAAAGAATGAGGCGGATGCTTATTGACCAGAAATGGTACCCCTCTGTTGTTCTTGACTGTTTTCTTATTAACAAGAAAAACATTCTTCTCTTCTGGCTGACCAACAATTTATGAAAACAAGAACAATCTTCTTATCTATTTGAACCACCTACTTATTGACAAAAAGTATTCTATGGTGTAAGTGAGACACATAATTACAGACAGGAGTGACATCACCAAAGAGTAAAGTGTAACTAACTAAATGCTTACTGAGAGGAAGAATATCTCATTAGTGTACCTGAACCATGTGCTTATTTATAGAAAGAATACCAACTAGTGTACATAACTGCGTGCTTATTTAGAGCAAGAATATCCCACTAACGTAGTGAATCACGTGCCTATGGAAACGAAGAATATCTTACTACAGTACTGAAACATATGCTTATTTGCAGAAAAATACGACTATTTCACATATAATTTCACCGAAAGGGGGCCGAAGGCTGCCTAGAGAGATCACCTCTTTTAACCACTCGCACCACTATACAATAGTGTAATGTCTGTCAGTCAGTCAGTAGACACTAAAATGGCGTCACAGAAGTGACACTTTACGTTGTAATTTGTACTGTTGTGATGTCAGTAAAACGTGCGCATGCCATGAATCACGAGAAGAATTATGCATTCTGTAGGTTACAGTACAGCATGACATAAGAAATTCAAAAGTAAGAAATAAAATATTTGTTACTCTTAATTTTTGTTTTATTTACTGTTGAAACAGAACATTTTCAGGGACCCTGCGGAACTATACCTAGTTTAATATTTTAACAACCACTTTAAGATGAAATATTAAAGCTGGTTTGATACTTTAATCATATAAGAAGAAAAGAAGTGACTGAGTATCTTTTTTTGACCTTGTGTGAGTGCAACCATGAATCTTCTTCAACAGAGATTATATACGTGAAAACTTAGTTTCTACCAGAGATATGCCCGGAATTCTTCCACACAGCAAACATGTCAACCGCTGTATCATTGATTCCATTGAACTGCAGTGCAGCATTGAAGAGAATCCAACTTTTACTTTTCAGGGGAAAAGAGATGTTTGAATTTATACATAGTAAGCAATTATAATTAACAATGTTTACACACTTTGTAAAGCTTTCTTTGTAAAGGCAAGTATTATATTAATAAACCTTAATTTGTGTATCGTCTTAATAATTCCAGGAAAACTGGATATATACTTGAAATATACTCTCCTTGTAGAAGAAAAAAAAAGTGCCAATAGAAGATGGCCCATGATAAAAAACGAATGGTTAATGCTCTAAAGAAATATAATAAAACAATTATTTTTGGGAGATACAATGTTCTTATCGTACACTACTTAGAAACGTAGAGTTTTCGTATAACATAGTATTTGGAAACGTACACTGGTTGTATAATACAGCATTTGGAAATGTACAGTGGTTATATAATACGATACTTAGAAACGTATAATGACGGTATAGCACAGCCTTTGGAAACGTAGATGGTGGTATAGCACAACCTTTAGAAACGTAGAATGATGATATATCACAACATTGAGAAACGTCTAATGACGGTATAGCACAGCATTTGGAAACGTAGAGTGGTGGTATAGCAGTATTTAGAAACATAGAATGATGATATATTACAGCATTTAGGAACCTAGAGTGGTGGTATAACACCGCCTTTGGAAGCGCACGGTGGTCATATAACATTGTAGGTAAGAATGTAGAGTGGTCGTATAACAATAATATGGAAATGTGTAGTAGTCATATAACATCGTATTCAGAAAATAGAATGCTACTATAATACCGTACTTAGAAACGTATAATACTTGTAACTACCGTATTTAGAAGCGTACACTGGTTGTGAGAAAATGATCTAGAAGTGTAAAGTGGTAGTATAATGTAGTGTTTTCTAAACTTACTTGGTAGAATTACCTCGATTTAAAATTTTCTTGCATTCCTAGTTGTAAACAACTGTGAAACGCTAATAACAAAAACATATCTAGTTCTGTGATTTCAGATATAGCTTCTTTCATATTTATCACTATTATCTGCTTTACTACATAAAGGAAATAATTGCTGGAAAAGAAATATTAAGATATTTTAATAGTTATGTTTTCAGAAGAACAAAAAATATAATGAGAAAAAACATATATATATATAATATGTGTATGTTTGTGTGTGTGTGTGAAGAAATATTATGATGTGCCGGTAGAGGGAGTCACCATTACAAGTAGGGTATTGAGGAAAGAAGTACTGTGCTGGTCGACAGACGGTAGCTGACGCTTGATGGATGGAGTGTAGCAGTGATCAAATCGTGTTTGATATAAGCCTAACATTAGGGGTGTGATTGATAATTAGAACATCAGTATAATCAGGCTGTGCTGAGAATCTGACCTTATTCTAGCCAGTGGTAGTACGTTAGCCAACTTATGTGAAATCGCCATGCTCTCGAAGTCGGTAGCTGAATTGCATGGATTAAAGTTTTCAGTAAAATGGTTTGCTGCTTCCTTGCTGTGTAGAGACTGAAAACTAGTAATCTTTTCAACGTTACAGAGTTAGGTACTTTTTTTCCCGAATAAACCTTAAGTTTAATAAGTTCGTATAAAACACAAAGGAATATATTTAGTCTCTAGCATTATGTGTACCTTTTGGCTGACTAGGTTCAGAAAAGATGTAAGGAATACTTAATATAGGCTGGCTGCTGATCGACCAGCCAGCGATGGAGACGAAGAGGTCCAACCGACGGAATGGTGCTGGGTACCCATGTCGAAAACGTCCACCCCCAAGTAAATGTAAGACTTGTTGTCGCAAGCTAACAACGTTTATGTTCTCTCACGTGGGTCTATGTGTTTTGGTGGTGGGGTACAGCATCATGGGAGCCTTCGCCTTCCGGGCACTAGAGGCTCCTCACGAAGATGAGCAGGCCAGTCAGGTGACCGAGATGAGAGAGGATACCGTGAGACGCTTGTGGGACATCACAAATAATCTGAACATCCTCTACAAGGATAACTGGACCCGCTTAGTATCCGCGGAAATTGATAAGTTCCAAATGGACTTGATAGCCGCTGTGCGAGACGGATATGATGGTCAAGAGATAGGAGCTAGCCAACAGTGGTCTTTCTCCGGAGCTTTCCTATACTCTCTGACTGTCATCACCACCATAGGTAAGTCGCTACTTACTGCAGCTTATTAAAGAGATAACAGTAACATCTGTTATTTCTTATATTTAGTTTGGTATTCTCATCATATATCTTCATTATCTTTTCCCTAGTATATATGAATACCGTCGTTAAAAGTGTTTTTTTTCTCCTGAAGAACTTCTGTAATTATAGTAGTATCTTGCTAAGTTTCTGTAATAAATATCCGTTAATAAGATTATTTTTAAAGTTATAATGAAACATCTTTCTATAATTAATTCTTTTTTGTTTGTTGCAAGTGTGTAACTCTTGAAATATGATAAACTACTTGCAAAATGAAATGTTATTCCCAATGGGACGTAAGTATCGTTTCTCAGTTCGTTCATCTTTTACATGCTATAATGTCTTTGCATTCCAAGCTGTAATATCTTTATTCTATTCATGCTTACCAAGCTCTAATGATCTCATTTTTCCTTATTAGCCAATCTGAAATGCTTATTATTTCTTTCTGTTTCTCCCTTTGTTTATTTGCGTTTTTTCTTGTTTCTTTTGGAGATCATTAAGTTTTTCAAATTACGTTTTTTATCTTCAAAATATATAGTTTCTCACATATTTGGAATCTCTAAATTTGTGTAAAGGTTTTGTTTAGACTTTCCAAAATGGCACGCCTCTTATTTTCCAAAATGTGGCATTTCTTTTTTCTTTATTATCGTTTGATATATGAAGTTTGTTTCTTCATCATTACCTTCTGAAAGGTAATTATTATATCACCTTTTGAAATGTGACAATTTGTCTTTCATTGTTGTTTTGTGATATGTGAAGTTTTTATTACTTTCTGAAATGTTTTCTGATATGTCAAGTTTCTTTATTATTACCTTTTCAAATGTTTCATTTTCTCCTTCATTATCATTTTCTGACATGTAAACTTTCTTTTTTCATTGTTACTATTTGAAATGTGACGATTTCTCCTTCGTTATTTTCTTCTGATATGTGAAGTGTTTTTTCATTATTACCTTCTGACATGTGACTTACCCTTCATTATTGTCTTTTGATATGTGAAGTTTCTTCCTCAGTTATTATCTTCTGAAATGTGACGTTTTTTTCCCTCCATTACTGTCTTCTGAAATGTGAAATTTCTTCATTATTACTATTTGATATGTGAAGTTTTTTCTTCATTACTAACCTTTGAAAGTGACTTTCTTTTTCTCTTTAACTTCTGAAGTTAACTTTATTTTCATGATCATATAACTTTCTGAAACGTAACACTTCAATTTTTATTATCTTGTGAAGTGTAAGTTTTATTTATTTTTAGCATTTCTGTTTTTATTATAACCTCTTCAAATGTAACTTTTCCTTCGTGATTATAACTTTCTGAAAAATAATTTTCTCCTTCATTTTTATTTTTATATATTGACGTTTCTTTTTGATTATTACTTTTTGAAATGTAATGATTTTTTCTTCGTTTATACTTTGTGGGAAATAACTTTTTTAACCTATTAAAGTACATTAACGTCCCTCTTGTTTAATTTTAATATTATGGTATTCTCTTTTATTTGGTGATGAAAAAACATCTATTTTTCATGTTATACTTTTCAAGTGTCAATGTTTGTCTTTCATTTATTTTTCATGCTATAGACTTTGGTCATTCTAGTCTCAGAAAAGATAATTATGTTATTCGTTTGCAATTAAAAAAGTTCTTACATTCCAATTTGTAAAGTCTTCTTTTTATATACAAAACATAAAATATTTTGCTTCTATTTTTTACGTATATCGTTCTGTTTTTGCACTTTCTGCCTTTACGTTGTTTTACTTATATCTTCAAACGTAATCGCTTTTCTGTGTTCATAACCAGAAACAAACCCATGAATAGTAGAACACACAAAAGACGAGTAGTATCTAATTCATGATAACACCGTGGGAAGGCTTCTGTACAAGATCGTGACCCACAAGTATCAACAAGTAAATGTTGGATGTGAGCGTGAAAGCCACGAAGCTTTGTCGACATTGGAAGTGGCGTAAATTCGTGGCATTTGATGCAGTACGGCTAAGTAAACAAGCAGGAGATTGCGAAGAATACTTCTTTCTATATATATATATATATTGCACATAAAATTGTTCTTTTGTTGCGAACCCTGTCTGTGAAGGTTTCAATTCACTTTACAAAGACAAGTTTCTGAAGCCTTTGTATTAGCAAACCAGAAACTCAGAAAGAGTATTTGTAGAAGTAGCAAAAGAATGAGATGAAATAGAGAATTTTTATATCATTTCAAATTAATATACAAAGACAGGATCTTGAAATGCCATTATAGTATGCAGAGGGTTGATTACATTGTATTAAAACCATTTTGAATCTACTCATCAGCAAGTCACGATACAACCACAGCCGGTATAAAGCCACGGCAGAACTGGATGTATCAGAACGACATCTAAATTTTTTTTTTCGTTTCATAAGTAGTGGGATGCCACCAAAAATCTATGGATTTGGGGAATGGTATGTAACAGCCTTTTTTGAAACAAAATATTAATACACTAAGATCATGAAGATGTGTTCAGATTAGGTATTTAGAATTTTTAAGAAGGGGGTACCCGTTGCACTTAATGGCATTAAAATAATATTATAGATCAGTTTGGGGCACCAAGACTACCTGGAAAGATATCTGCAGCAAGTCATACTCCAACAGTAGTAATCAAAGTGTGGCGTCTTATAACAAGTGAGAATCTTTAAACCCAAAAGTCAAAGGCAGAAGCAGTTCGTTTATCCCAGCCAACAGTATGCAATACAATGAAGAAAGATCTCCATCTGAAAAAACACACAAGTTACGTCCACCACGTATTGATTCAACCATCGCATACCTCAACAGCTGGAGAATGAAACAGTATTCATGTTATTCCATACAGAGACATAATGTATTTCTGTACAATAGGACTGTTGAAACAAATTATGAGAAAGTGTTCAGAGGGACTATGAAAAGCATGTAGGGAGTAATAGTATGTCTTGACCATGACAGCCTTACGACGGAGCCGTTTACAATGGAAACTACGCTGTAAGGCTATTGTAAATATGCACTGTTGTTAGATAAAGCACGACTGTAACGATGCGATGAGACTCCAAAATCGTTTTCATATAGCAAACTCAACCTCTGTACAAGAAATATCAAATAGATCTAGTATACCTGGCAAGGGTAAATGGTTGAAGGAGAAACATATACAAATAATATGAAATAAATTATAATGTGCACTTTCTACAAAAGGATAAAAACGAAAAAGAAGGTAAATCGAAAAGCAAAATAACATTCATGAGATTAAACAAAAGGATAATAATAATAATATACTTTAAGAATAAAATATTTCGATTGGCTGAAGTTGCTGAATAGATTAAAAAGAGGAGAAGAACGAATAGGCAATT